TCTGGATAAAGCTTTCTTTGAATGGCGTGCTTTTTGTGTAAAATCTTGAGATTATGATGCATCTGGAGAAAGATAGCCGCAAAGGTAAGACATTGAAGGTAGAGATGATGTCAAGCAACTTAATGCTAGTCGGCTCTTGGGGCTATCGGTCGAGGTTTCGTAATTGATTGAATGAACTGGGGGCTGACACGTAGTTGAAACTAGCCACTTTGATTTGGAGTGCCATGGATGGGATAGAGATCCAGGAAGATCTAGAAGAAGCCTCCAGGATAGCGGCAGAGGAAGTGGGCACGCGCCTTCATTGACGTCTTCTTTTCTCCTCGGATAATAAGTAACAAGCCATAGTTCAAATTTCACTCTAAGAACGCGAAAGATACACTGTCTAGGTTCGCTATTATTCACCGCTTTTGAACGTGGCTGGAGATTTCTAGTTAATCCAGACTGTCTTCATCGACAAACTAACCTATTTTTCTCGTTACGTTAGCTGCCGGATATGTCCATGCTGTCGAACAATGATTTGAGCTTTCTCACAAGTGGCTTTCACTCGCAGACTCTCGACTCTCGCATACGTCGGTCGCATTACAGGTTGATAAACGAAAACCTTTCTGATACCCCTAGCAAGCTGACCACTTAGATCCTTAGAGCTGGGCTACCCTTTTTTTTGTTATTCTTAAGAGCCTACGGTATCAGCACCCCATACCCAGTTTTGGGTACCATAGTTACCTTGAGAACTACATTTTTCAGAATTATGCGTTAGATATATTCTCAGTCATGATCATGACAATGGATTACTAGTTCAAGTGGTGTTGGCGGTTTAGCATGCTGACTAGCACCGGTTGAACAGTAAAACAAGCCCGTGCCTGTTGCATCGCTTCAAGGCTTCGCTGTCATCAGCAATACTGACATGTAACCCAGTATCAGGAAAACCGTCAATGGGAACTTTCATGTCGTCTACAGCGCCTACAACTGGCCTCGTACTTTAAATAAAGTGTTTTGGTGTATTTGACATGGACGGGAAGTTGACGGGGTTCCGAAGCACGTCATTTTCTTATCCTGTAGATGGGCGACAAAAAGGATGGTAGACTTTGAAAATAGAAGCATCTGGCGGATGGATATGACGGATGGATATGACGGATGGATATGACGGATGGATATGACGGATGGATGTGGTGGATGGATGTGGGCGAAACCAGCACAGAACGCTCAGAATGGGAAAAGTGGTGTTGTTGGTTGGAAGAACTAACTAACTGGCTAGAGGGCTGTGGAGGCTGGCTAAGACCAGTGGTGGCGGCCGTCAGCCCACGTGACGGGCCGGCGAGGCCTGCCACCCACAATGGATGTGGCGGATGGATCTGTGTAAGGATTGGCGGGTAGATTTGTTGGCCAGAAATAAGTGGGTCGTACACGGCATGTAACCGCCACCCACGCCTTGTGCCTTCCAGGTTCAGATATGGCCTCAACTTCAAGATTTTCACTTTCACATCGCGTTCTCCCACAAATTTCGATGCCACGATAGTTCTTATTTATCCCTTCTGACAGTGAAGAAAATGACCTGGACTGCTCAACCGTTGGTGGACACAGCCCTTGGAAACCTACGAGCAGTCATAGTGGCTTCATCCAACCATTTTTGTTTGCTCCATTACAGTTACGCGCTCACATTCAATAAGACATACAGACAGGGGTGGATCATATTAATACGACACGTAAAAAAACAGCGCACATTGACAAGAATGATACAGGTTTCCCTGCCGTCTTCAGAGCTTATCCACCTGTCATTTCCGCAGCGTCTCCCAGCGAAAAGGCGTTCCTTGTCACCCGCAGAATCGGAGAAATCGGCGTTCGGGTGGTCGGAGGGTCGGGGGGTCGGGACCGGAGGTTGGTAGTCAAAAATGGTACAATGGATAGGGGGGAACACGGACAGTACGATACTGGAGGAACCAGTACCCAACTAGGGATCAAGAGGAACTATAAAGAAGGGCTCTCGATCCCATAAGGTGATTAGGAGGCCAGAGATAAACACAGTCACTATCACAACCCCTACATTTTAACCTCTTCACTTAGTGCCATTCCTTTACTCTGACATTTCTATATATTCAGATGAAGCATTGGAAACAGGGAAACGACATTCCATCAAAGGTCAAGACAAAACATCAGTCGACAAGAACTCTTTATCCAGGCGTACGCTCTCGAATGTTCCCCCGTGTTAGCAAAGCAACGATCTCTGCTTCGTAACATGGATAAGGTCTCTGCGTCAGTCCATCTTTCTTTCCAATTCCTGTTTTTGAGGGTCCTCTGCAATTTCGCAAAGAGCATTCAGCGCCGACCTCGCCACAAAATTATACAACCGATGTCTCAGCGTCTTCAACATTATCCGCAAATCCCGGGTCGATCCTTTACAAGACAAGCAGAGTGCTTGTTCAATTATCCCGAGATCATCACCCTTCTGGGGTTCCCTCCCAATACCCCTTCCAACTATATATATGCTGCTCTCCTGAGAATTTGTCCCAACGTGCCGAGAAATATCCATCAACGCTTGGAGAACTTTCCAGTCTCCGATGCACGACCAGGTGATGCAACTTCTTGTGCATCTCTGTCCTCTCCTTTGAGTGGATGGAGACAATCCAGCACAAGTTTCAACTCAACCAGATTCATGCCTAGTCTACAGCAGACATGGTCTGTTCTTGGCTTTTTCCTGGTTCTCGTTTGACCTGAAATATCGATAAGGCGTCATTTTTCTCGTCGTTGCTCTTTCCCTGATTTACCATTTCGCGTCAATTTGTCGCAAGACAACAATCAGTTCCTTGTCTCCTACTCCTTGGACAGAACACCCCCAAGCAACCTGTAGAGCTTGACTCTCGTACCACGATAGCGTAGCTAAGATCGGTCTCTTACCTCTGATTTATGGCACCGGCTTGGGTCATCCGCTTCGATTTAATTCTGCTAGAGAAACCTAGTTGTCCTACCTTGAAATTTCTGGCTTGTAAGCGACGTTCTCGACATGCAGTGGTTTATGTCGTACACGAGTTCCAGTGATTACTCCTGCCCCATCAACCGCGGCATAACCCCATTCTCGCCAAGGACGGGTAAAACCAATCAGGTCTTTTGCCTACTACTCTTATCAAATCTTGTGTTGAGATTGGGATGCTCGACCTGTTGTTTCATGGCAAAGCATTGTAAGCCTATTATTCTCCAATAATAAACATGGCGCGCCACCTCCGCACCGTCCAGCTGCTGGCAGATTTTCAACCCAGTCATATCCCGATGGCATTATATGACAAGGCGAAAAAGCTAACTTAAATCAGGGGGACACAAAAGCTGCAGGACGTATTTCTTCATTTCCTCTACCAGCTTCATTTTCCATTTTCAACATTTTCTGTGAAGTAAATCTGCACAAATATGATGCGACTTGAAACTAACCAACGCAGTGATTCCGGCTCAGAAACAGAGCAAGATCCTGACGTCGAGCAAAGTATTATTCTATCTGAGAAGCTGGTCAGCTCAGATACCCGTTTTTGTTCTCCGCCGTTTCTCTAGTCACATGTTACGACCAGTGTTTCTCACCTTCGTTCGGCCGATAGTTTTATCGTCAAATTCAGACAATTACCGCGCGAAACACTCGGTTTGGTATGGAGGGGCACCAGACGATCTAGTCTGCGATTAAAATCAAAGCAGAGTAAGAATGGTATATGGACAGTATGGTAAGCCTGGGGACTAAATCATCGCTGAGTGTAATTAGGATGCCGTCGAGACCCAAGGAATCACAACCAAACCCAGCGACACAGCAAGTCCACGTCAAATACAAGCATATTAGCAAAAATCGTTTGCTGATCAGAAACAGGATATCGGGGCTGAGTGTGCGACAAACTCCTCCAGAACGACCGACGCTGGGACATGCCTCTCGGGTTCTATTGAAAGTCGCGAACTCGAATCTCCAACAGCCAGGCATGTTAGGTGCTGTGAATTCTGATGGCACCTCAGTCATGCAACCAGAATCGAGTCGCGCTAGAACCATCAGTAGGCTCGGCACTCACTCAGCCATCACCCGCCCGAAAAAAAGCCGGGGAAGATGACGGGAGCCTGTTATCGTTCCAGTAGAAAGACAAGCGTGTTGGGAACGGCGATTTTATTTTAGGAGTATGTGATGGCCCTCTTTGTTGATTTCAAAATGTCTACGTTCTATGTTTTCTTTTAGTGAGCACGTAATTGAAATGCAGTTATAGATATCCAATGTGGGTGGTTTGGAGATTGAAGTCGCGACATGTGACCTTGTTATGGGGGATGAGAACGGCTTCAACCATGGCAGTCATGGCAGAAAGAAAAGCTCATCGTAGAAGGGTCAATGGATGTCGCCTGGTCACAAATGACAAATCGCAATGTTGTAAGAAACAGCCATATTCAGCCATCAACTCAGTGAACACGATTAGCCTAGCATCTTTCTCGGAGCTAAAACGAATCGCCGGCTTTGATGACGTACCGTTACTGACGAGAAGGGTAATTTAATGCATTTAATAGCCTAGTTCAATCCCTTCTAACCACCTCATGCTGCCATTGACACGGGACTTAAAGATTGCAGCCCAGACTTCAATACTTCGCGCGGTCCCCACTGCAATTCATATGTTGTATCTGGTTTTCTTTTAAATTATACAACATCTCAAAGTACCATTCCCGAATCCCCAACTGTTTTTGGTGCCAAGACCTGTGGCTGAGAGGCAGCCAACAAAGATAACGAATCAAATCTACGGAGCGCTCAGCCTTCTCCATCTGCTGCAGCCAGCTGCATGAAGGCGTCCATGGCTATTTGAGGCAGCGAGAGCCTGATTTTATGTTGGCTGTGAACAGAATGGCATCCAACCCTGGCTTTACAATCACTAATCTGCTCCGTTCTTCTGCAACCTTCATACTTCCTCGTTCGCTCTTACATTAGGAACTCTCCAACCTATGCACGTACGTCTCAGTGAAAGTTACTGCTTTGTCTTTCATAAGAGATTAGATACCAAGTCATGTCAGACGCTTCAAAGTACACGGTTGGTTGGATATGCGCCCTCCCTATTGAGTTTAATGCAGCGAAGGCCTTTCTAGACGAGCGGCACGAAGACTCTCCTCCTCCTGTCGCACGACACGACAACAACAGCTATGCACTGGGCAGGATCGGTAATCATAATGTCGTGATTGCTGTCCTGCCTGACGGGGAGTATGGTACCACTTCCGCTGCGGTAGTCGCTCGAGGCATGCTGCACAGCTTTCCCAACGTGCGTATTGGGCTCATGGTCGGCATCGGCGGCGGCGCACCTAGCTCAAAGCATGATGTGCGGCTTGGCGATATTGTGGTTAGTAGTTGCAAAGGAGGAAAAGGCGGCGTCTTCCAGTACGACTTTGGCAAGGTTAACCAGAACCGAGAAGTCTCTTTTGAACACATGGATTTCTTGGACCAACCACCAACAGCGCTACGGACAGCTGTTAACGCACTCAAAAGCCAATACGAAATGAAAGGATATCAGCTTAATACTAAAATTGAAACGGCATTGGCAAAGTGGCCTCGGCTGCGGAAAAAGTATGCACGACCTCCTTTAGATAGCGACAGGCTCTACCGATCAAATGTTCTGCGTCCGACCTCGTCAGACGGATGCGACAGCGTATGCAGTAAAGACCTAGCCGACCTTGTATATCGTCACGAACGAGACGATGATGATGGTAACCCCGCTATCCACTATGGGTTGATTGCCAGCTCAAACCAATTAATGAAAAATGCTATTATTAGGGATAAGCTAGCAGCAGAGAAGGGCGTTCTTTGCTTCGAAATGGAGGCCGCCGGTCTAATGAACCACTTCCCATGCCTAGTAATCCGTGGAATTTGCGATTATTCCGACTCCCACAAGAATAAACAATGGCAAGGCTTTGCTGCGATGACAGCTGCGGCGTATGCAACAGACATTCTACATCAAGTTCCGCCTACTAGGGTTGAGGCCGAGAGGCGAATCAGTGATGTTCAAGAAGTATTCGGAGAGAATAACTTGGCATTGGACCAAAAAGCTCCAGATCTCAAGCTTAAGACAGCTGAGTGGTTACGCTCAACGACGTAAGTACAGTTGAGATGTCATCGATAACTCCTGGAAAGTGTGTGCTAATTCAGTTAGAGAGAACAACTTAGAGAATCCCAACCCTTATGAAGGCGATACTACCGGCGCAGCTTTTGGTCAACTCAGCTCTAGCTCTTCCCAGTCCGAGTCGTCTGACATAGAAATGGAAAATACTCAGGCAGCGTATGAGCATCTGGGGACCGTCACTCTCCAGTCCGAGTCGTTCTCAAAATTCCGGACGCGATACCGCCATTTTACTCATCCAGCTACTAAGACAATGGACGCACAAGAAAGAGGTCCAATTCTGGATGACGCTCCAACAATCTCGGTATCGATATGCATTCGGCAATTCGTTTCTCGACTGCTCCGCCCCAAACTTCAAAACGGGCGTCGAAGGCTTGAATGGGTTTGCGTGCGTTATCTCGGCAATTACTGCAATCAATCATTTCGACCTGATGCTGACATCAAATAGGACTGTGGAGAAGCATTGTATGGCGACTTTGACATCCCTGATGAAGATGCGTTGCTTCAAATACAACAGGTTCTCGGCATGCAAAAAGACTTCAGTAATGCATGTTCAAATGCTCTTGTCAGGACACAAGGAGACATTGTGGAAACACAACCAGTCTCCGCAACGAATAGGCAAATCACGAACCCAAGTTCTTCTCACGATATCCAAAGTTCCCCAATCTGTCTGGAGGAAGGAAGGACAAATCAGCCTGTACAGCAACGCAACACAGGAATATCCACCCCAAACAATAATTTCGACATACGGTCAGCCTTGACTGAAAAGCGCTACTTTGAGTTGTGCGTTAACACTGGCGAATTTACACGACAACTTGAAGAAATCGATGTCACAGGCATCAACAGCGACTCGCAACTTTTTAAGAAGATAAGAGAGAGCTACTACAAAGTCCGCAGTTTTCGGACCAATAACTTTCTTCTGAAGCCCAAGAAAGTACATTTCGTGCATGTATGTCGCCCAGATCACTGCTCCTGTTACTGTACTTAGGTTACTAATGCGAACGAACAGTTTTCACTCGAAGAAAGGTATCGGGTTGGCATTCTCAAGCAACCAATGGCACTCCCAACACTGGACGAGATGATCGAAAAGGGATATGCATGTCGTGTTTGCACCCCGCCACCAGTCCCTGATAATGTTTTCATACATCACTTGCTCCACAATGACCCTGACCAGACGGCTCATCCCAAGCTGCGTTGGGGCCGTCGAATGCCACATAAGATAAACAATCGCATCTTGCATTCTATTGAGCATGATTTCAATGAGGATATTGTAGTGGGATGGGGAGTGCACATTATTGAAGGGATCAATAGACAAAACGTCCTTTGGGTGGCGCTTTTGATCTTGGTACTCAGCGGAGTGCTAGGGGTGTCTTGGACTATCGCAAGGGATGATGTTCAGGGCGGTTTTGGAATCGCCTCTTGGATGACCGCAGTACAAGGCGTTATCCTAATGCTTTTAGTCACAAGGTGGGGAGAACTGTAGTCATAAATCACTGACCGTGGCTTTTGTCAGCGTATAGATCCTCCGCTTAGGTGTCCTAATCTCTGGTGTCAAAGACGGCCCATTTAATCGTCTTGGGCTCTTGGTTCCTTGTTTAACGTGAGGAAGGAGTCCCAGGCTGCTTGTGGGGACATTATGGGCGATACTTTGAATTGTTTAACCATACTCTGTGCGCATAGAGTTACCCTCACTGTTATCAATCCTCGTTTTATTGTTGAAAACCAAAGATCTTGTTCATTCAACGTAACAAAACTGATCAAAGCATTAAACGCCTGCAGAATCAAATTCCCATTGTCCTGAAGGCGAATTGAAGAACGTCGAGATGTCATGATGAGTTATGACAATGTTGGTGTTTTAAAACTTGTGGAACAAACTAGTATCCTGTTTGGCTAATGTGATGAGGAAGTAGTTCGAGAGTTGGTGGCAGTTATGGATCTACCCAGAGTCCACAGAAGCCGTGCAAGTCTCTGGACTCATAAATATCGAGCAACAGCTAGACAGGCGATAGTCATTGTTTGTGTCTCGATGAGTATGCTGAATTAATGCCTACCTATGAGAAGAAACCCTGTATCTATACAATGAGTGTGCGATCTTCTTGAACAGCCATGCGCTTGCTAACCTTAATCGTATCTCTAGTCAAGCCTCAGTCGGGTCTCTCGAGATAAAACAATTACTATAACAAATGCAGAATACCAGAGCGTGTGTGGACACATTGGAAGTGAGGTTGAGACAGCCGGGGGCAACATGGCGCCGGGGAAGCGCGCTTTTTTAAGAACCCAGATTCGATACTTTCAGAAAAAGCTGCCTTTATATCCAATCTTTGTGCGTTTGGGTCGACAAGTCGACTGCTTCTGAAAGATCAGGGAGCTCACAGCGAACCAAGGCTGATATCTAATGGTTCAGAATGTAGATCGTGGCGTATGGAAGATCGGGGGGATTACGCGCTGAGTTTGAAGCTACTCATGCCAATTTTGAGTGCTTGGTCGAGATATACAGAAATAACGAGCTCAGAATTATCTAGAAAACAAGTCTAGGTGTTTGACGGCGGAATTGAGTAGTAGTTTCCGCGGATCAGAGATCGTTAGGAACAATAAACACAAACATCTGTCCGTCAGATTACACATACGTGTTTCTGGCGTGCCACTTGGATCGAAGCTCAAACAAAGTGATGATCGTTTGCAAAACCGCTAGCCTTTCAGGAACTGGCTTTGGTGGCCTGGTGTTTGGCTAGATTTCAATGCATGGCGCGGAGGGAGTGGCCGCATTTCTGCCAGGTGCTGGTATCGGCCCTTGCGTAGATGTTGGATTGAAATGCCCTCGCATGGTTCCCCCGTACTACGGTACATCTGGATCTCTGAGTTGGTCTGCTTAGCATCTCAGGTGGAGGATATCAGCGAGTCGAGTACGGCGTGGTGGTACAGGCAAGAGAAGCGATGAGAAGGCAAAAGTTGGGAGAATGGGATGCATGATGGCGCCCGTCACTGTGATGGATTATATCGGTGGCATTAGATATTATCGTTGAGATCATGGCTGCTGGTGGGAGATGGTGAGAAGGTGCGAGCCCGAAACATGAAGCGGTGAAGTCTTTGGCGATGTGGTGGTCTCAGACTTTGCAGTGACAGACGGAATGGAAACTGCTACTGCGGGTGGATTGCTTCGAGTTGCGAGCAGTAACAGAGACCCTTCATATTAGCCTCATGTCTTTTCACTAACATCCGTAGGATCCAGCGACCGGGGTGTTACAGAACGGTCCGTGCGGGGTATGGGGATGTAAATCTGACCCACCCAGATCTATCCGACAAATCCATCCGCCAGATTCATCCGCCAGATTTATCTACCAAGGCAAGTACTTACGGATGAGTAATTTATTCGTAGGAAGCGATGATTAGTATCGGCGAAATTGAACAATTCTTGACACCAGCGACGCATATCAGCATCTATTATAATTATGACATCGATAAATCGTCCCTTGCTTTAATGATCTTCGATGAATGACTATGTTGAACCACGACATCGTCACAGGTTGGGGAATCCGAGGTCTGTAGCAAATCCGGCAGCGGCACATAAAGCATATTGGAAAAGATGACGGGTGGGTCCCGGAAATGCATAAGTTTTGTGCGCCTAAATGCATAAAGTAGTAATACGGTCTCGTATGAAATGGTTACTCATTAGCCCATCAACTGCAGACTGCAGCTGCCCGAGCATTCAAAGAGGATACCCAGATTAATTCTCTTTAACTCTAGTGAGCTCGTATTAAGTACATAGAGTAATTCCGGTTTGCTCCAATTTAGAGATTTCTTGTCGGATAAAACACAGATCATTTCAAGACAGTTAAAAACATGTGTACCCACTTTATTCGCGCTCAAGTGTGCTGACCACCCAAACGAAGTGGCCACCCAAACGCAATGCTCAAAATGTTAAGTCCTCCACCAAAGGCTCACTAGATCACTAACAGCCGAAAAACTTGCAGTCCCTGAAATAGAAGAGCAACGACTTGAAATATAGTTCACTAAAAAAATACTAATGAATCAAAGGGAGTAACTTAAGCAGAGTATAGTTCTATTTATTTGAACTCCCTCTTACTGAGACCATAATTTTTCAATCTCGAATTGATATTGACAGAGTAATTTTGCGTTTGGGTGGTCCGCACCTCTTTTGGTGTGAGCCCAAAGGGGAATCCAAATAAAGTGGGTCATATATGTGTACTGCTCAAGTACCTGTCTTCATGCAGGAAAAGAGTGGGGAATATAGTACTTGCCAAAACGAAGTGGAGAAACAGCCAATAGGATCTTCAAGTCGGAATCTTACTGTGTAGTGACAACAACAAAAGGCCTGGCGGGGTAATCTTCTCGAAAATGATGAATGAAGGGTTATACGTATCGATCACTCAATCACCTACAATTTAATCGTATCCAACATGCAGGTACTCACTCATGCATCCGATAAGATGACCATAAATACTGTGTACTTTTCGGAACAAGTTGTTCTTCACATCAAGCTTTCCTGCTTCGACCGGCCCACCAATCACCACAACCCCGCCAAGCGATGTGTCACACGGACCACTGCATATATCGGGGCATGCATTCAACCCATGCACCCGGCTATTGTTTCCCATATAAAACTAACGGGGATGTCATTTTGTGCATGAAAACCTTCAAATCGGTAATTACCGAATAGACGGTTATATAATCAACCCAATAACCCCTAGACAGTCTCTAATGAATGGAAGCATCTTTTTTTACCCCATAAGTGGTGGGCAAATTGACTGCGTGACAGTTATGAGCCCAGTACCTCATGGTGACAATTACCAATTGAAAAACCGACTTCCAGAAGGGAGCAGTTCAGACTTATGCCATAGACAAGGGCACTCAATTGACGAAGTTACCGACCCATGAGACTTTGGCAGTCAAGTCCACCAAACAAAACATCAATTCCAATCACACAAGGCTGAACGTTGAAGTGTTGAAACATTCAATCA